CACCTTTATTAGAGGATATTTCAGGAATTTTATCATCATTGGGGTGGCATTTTTACCAAAAATTGATCTTAAGTCCCAAAACGTTTAAAATTACTCTCAACACCTTAGTCAAATACACCTGTAACAAATTCTCAGGTCCTAGTGTACGATACCTCCTTTACCCGGTATGTATGGTTTTAAGAGTTATTCCCCTTCATTTACAATAATTTCGTGTCACAAACATTCATTTTACAATTGTAAATTGTACACATGTGAATCAAAGCTCGCCATTCACCACAGTAGGTACACTTGTGAATCAAAGCTCGCTATTCACTACAGTCGGTACACATGTGAATCAAAGCTCGCCATTCACTTCAGTCAGTACACATGTGAATCAAAGCTCGCCATTCACCACAGTAGGTACACATGTGAATCAAAGCTCGCCATTCACTACAGTAGGTACACAGAAAGCAATGCTGAATTGAATATATATAGTTCCTTGTGCTACAGTAAAAGACATATTGCAGTGATCAAATCTGGTATCTCCAAACTCAAAAGGGATACCTCAACAAATTGGCGGTCTGTCACCATTTATCATTATTTTGCCGCTCACTTTATTTGGAAGCTTGTTAACCTTCATCTAACCTTTCAATTTTCAGAAACTAATTAAAACTTTGTCATGAAAATGTTTTGAATATAATAACAGATTATGTCAGTGGTAAAATAATGTATTATGAAAATATGGCAATTCACACTTATCTATATAGTGACTGAAAATTATAAATGCCTTGCCAGAATATATTATGTGTGTAATGTTGATGACAGAAGCACAGTGTATATCTTAACTATAACAAAAACCAGACTAAAGACAACAACGACTCCTTTGAATTTAAATTATTTTTATTAAGTAGTTTCACAGCTATTTTCCTACACAAATAGTCAGGAATCAGTACAATACAGAATTGATTACAATTTCTATATTTCACAACATGCAAAGGAAGTAGACTGGCACTCGCAGCATACAAAACATTTCCTTGGGCGATGCATCATCACATGACTTATCACATGACCAGATATCCATAGGAGGTATAAACATTCCAATCTTAGCCACTTTCTTTCGCACATAATTAGTAGGTATTTACAAAATGTAAATGCACGAAGGTAGTTTTAAGCGTAAGGTTTCCATGGCAACCACATTAATAATATATAAACTAAGTTCTAGAAAATTTGCTAAATTTTATCTACATGCATAATTCAACATTGTGTAGCCTCAGGTGTCTTAGCCTGCTGCACACTGTAAGTTTGTCCTTGCGACACCCAAAGCATCATCAGTCCTAGCTCCATCAATACCAGGAGCTTACTCTAATTTCTCCATGAAAGACACCTTTGATGTTGGCTATTGTCTCCGAACTATCACAAATTTGGCAATTTATACGGCATAGTTTCGCTCCAAAAGAGTTAGTTCCTATGCGTTTGATTTAGGTCAAAGGTCATCGTGACCTACATACAGCACTGGCCGTGCTAGATATATATATAGCACAATGTGTGTAAACATCATTAAGGGAAAGAAAAAGGGCAAAACAAAATTATATATAATACTGTTTTAGGCACAAGCCACCATGTAAAACAACCCCCATAAAACTCTGTAAATGCTGAAATTCTGATGTTTGGAAACTGACCCGTACTTGAGCCACACTCTTACTTACATCCAAGGTAATATAACAATCCTATTATTTAATTGGAACAATAAATGTTACACTGTATTACTTGACACATGTTACATTGTATATAAAAATCAGTTCTAACTTATCACACATTATCTACAGGCTGTGCACCAGTTAATGTCAATCTATAGCCATAATGTTAATTTTGGGTTGTCTCCCTTCAATCTGGATTTACAAAATAGTTCAGATGTTAATTTCCGCTCTTATTCTGTATAATAATTAGGTTTTTTCAATCTGTCAAACAAAATATGCTTGTTTCTTCGGTGTAACGAATACTGCATATAATATTATAGTTTTAGAGTTTTAGATCATATAAATCAACTTTTTCAGCCTTTTAGATGGGTCACTTTACCCTTTCACCACTGTAGACCATAATGGACTCATCCATATCAATGCATGGTAGAGTCTACTAAAGTTACATAGGGGTGAAAGGGTTAAGAATACTTTATTATCAATGAAATCAACAATTGTCTATAAATACTATTTTCTATTAGTATCAAATCCTTTTTTATCCTGAAACATGGGAATCAATGTAGTTTAAGATCCGCCGTTTTTGTTATTGGCTATAACTAGGAGGGGGAGACAGCAGATATGTACGACACTGGTCTGTACCTGTCACAGCTGGAATGCTTAAGTGAGACCCTTCATGTCCTGGAAATACAGCCTCCCTATATTACCTTCTTCATCCTATAAATACATCCATGGAGTGTGGATCACAGTTTGACTAGTATGCGAAAAATATCTTTACAAAAATTGTATTCCTGCACAAATAACTAAAACAAAGTGTTCTAGGAATTTACAGAAAGCTAGAATATGAGATTACTTCCACCACGTTCAGAAAGGAAAGGAAGAAAATTCTTTAAATTTTCTAATACTGTTTTTAGTTAGACCAAATAAATAGATAATTATCAACAACACATTCTTTAGTTATTGAGGAATAGCTGAAGTAAGGATGCATGTCCAGAGTCCAGCCTGTCACTGTGGAACACATACACCAACATCGTCCACTACCAGTCAGAACTCCACGACCAGAGTTAGCTCCCCTGTGGAGTAGACTGACAGTTGGTGGACAACAAAGGCTGTGATATCAGCATTCTTACCAGAGATACCCAGTGATAGTTTATACCATCTATTCATATCTTATATTTTTTGAAAATTACTAACAAAGATTTAGAATTAAAAAAAATAATTGGTTAAGCAAATATCCAGCATAAAAATAGCTTCTGATTCAAGATTGTCAATTTTCAATAAAAGATGGAAAAGGAAGAAAAAGTTGAGAAAGAAAACAGAAGAAAGGAAATAAGGTTGAGAGACTGACCTTGCTACATAAGCTATCTACCCTGAATACTACGGTAAACCTAGCACAGACAACAAGCGATAGCAAACTTAAGGTCAGTCTGACCAAACAGGCATTATCTTAAATAGCACAGCCGTCAGTGTTGTACAAACCTTGGGTCCAACATGTCACCGAAGGACAGACCTCCCCCGTCCTCTGTCACCATGACGGACAACAGGGGCGCCATAATGTACAACACCAAACAACTGCCAACACACCTGGTTCTGCTGAGAGGGACAAGAACAGATGTTTCAAAAGAATCCAAGACAACCTGATATCGGTTGTTCAGTTCAGCTAACAGTTGGTTGCAACGGATACTCAGTTGTGTTGCTGTGCTACCATACCAGATGCCTGTACACAAAACAAGTGGCTACCACACCTATTCGACCTAGTAATACATCTACCATTCTTCCATCCAAGACGAAAACACCACTATGCCTCCGCAGCGAAAAGCTCTAAAATGAGCCAGTAAGCGATGGTGGTAGGTGTCCGTTATGTCGAACAGTTGTCAACACAAACAATAAAGGCAGGGAAAAGCCCCCAAAAAACGTTAACCAACAAGCAATAAATATATAATATTGTACAGTTGCATAGGGAATGACAGTGTAGACTTGGTCATAAACCCTGCATGCAAAAGTATCAACAATAAATGGCAACAATTAACAATAGAAAATAAACAACAACAATCAACGTCAGGGATCTTGAGGGGTTAAAACGGCCAGAGGTCAAAGGTCACCTATCCTGAGCAGACTCTGGATCCAACATGTCACCCAGAGGGGCACAGAGGCCTGGTCTTGAAGGTCAAAGATCACTGACAGATAGTTCTGTCAGTGACCCAGGCCCCTTAAGACAAGGTCAAAGGTCATATCAGCTCAAAGATCTGGTGCTTTAACAAACAATGGTAACGATATATGTAAGTTGTGTGCAGTCCATCTTGTTACCATGGTGACTTAGCTTTCAACATTGTAAGCAGGCCTTAAGTCCAACATGTCACCTAAGGAGGCAGATCTGCAAAGGTCAGATGTCATCAAAGGTCAAAGATCACAAAAGGTGAATCAAAGACCCAGACCAAATTGGACCTTTGCAGTTGCAAAACTGATGCTTACGGTCAAGAGTCAAGTACCAAATTCAGTACAAGACATGACTATACCAACTTTTATGGAGTTTTGGTTAATAAAGAGTACAACCTGCAGCAATGTACAAGTGTCTGTCTGTTACAGACAAAACTGGGACATTATACTGCCACATATGACAGTAACATGCCACATGAAACTTGTAAAGTAAGTTGTCTGTATCAGAGAAACACTACCAAAATGATACACCTTTTTATGTGAAGCCCAGCAAGGTTTGGCAGTAGGGGGCACTGGGCACAGTCAGTGTAGGAAGAGGCCATCACCACCAAAAACATGGCCATCACTTGCATTCAAAAAACGTACAATTTGTCAAAATATAATATTTGGAAAATAGAGCTTTGACAAGCCATAATATCTGAGATCAAAATATATATATTCATAATATAGACATGTACAATTGTTATCAAACATTACTAGAAACATAATGCATATTTAGGGTTTAAGACTAATATCTATCAGTTACATGTCCCGAGGTGACTGTATGTACATTATATATATATTTACAGGTTTTATTATTTACAATTGGCATTTCTCACATGATTTAAATAGCTGTACAGGTATTTATAAAAATGTACAAATGACTACAGATGTTTAATCTCATACTGGAAGTGGAATTGTACAGACCTTGATATAATTTGTTCTTCTGATAAATCTTTGGACGCCCCAATGATGGATGGCTGGATAGCTGAGTGAAGACTACTTTTCACTATTTCCCTTAGTCAGAACCACATACAAATATTTGTTTTTAAATCACAAATGTATTTTTTCACCAATGAAACTTTACTACGACAATAATCATATAGTCTGGGTATTTGGACATTCTTTTCCTTCATTGTCAAATTGCAATTAGCCACTACTTTATTTACTTTTAAAATTCAGGTTTCCAGTTAAAAGTAAGTTGCCTGGCAACAGTTAATTTATTTTATCTACTTAACCAAATATAATACATGTTTTCACACACAATGCTAAACAGCATTGAGAAATTATTCGACCAGTTACTAGTTTCGGAAATAGAATTAACATATTTTAGTTTCTGATGTAATGCCACACAGGTGGTAGCTAGGAGGGAATGATTCAATCTAGTAGATGTTGGGGTCCATAGCATCATGTTCAAATAAAATATGGTAATATGGGGTCGGTGGTCAGGGGTCAACCTGGTCCAATGAATCATCAGGAAACTCCCAAACTTTTACATTTACACAAACCTGACTATGGCATGTTACGAACAGGATTATATCCTTTCAAAAGGCTGAGCATTGTCTATACATAAGTTATCAAGTGTAATGAGCACAATCAATCAAAAATTACAAGGTATTTATGAACACACTAAAAAATCAAAATCATGATATACATGTGGTTGCCATGGAAACACGAAAGAAGTACAATGTATTTTGCGAATATTAGCACCATATTTTAACATGGAAAGAGAGGAGACATATGCAGCACTATCTCATTGATCCTCCCCTCTGATTGGTCAACGTGAAGTCATGCGACTGTTTCTGATGCATCCCCAAGAGAAAACTGTCCTGGGTCGTACACATGTGATTGTACAGACCACATCAATTTAACAAGTGCCATTATTAACAGGCAGCTGATACATTACTGACTACTACTCTCAAAACAAAGGATATCTACGTTTTCCTTGTACACTGCATTGTGAAATCTTATACAAGAATACATACACGTTTTAAAGACTTAAATAGGCAACAAACAATGAACTATCTGGGTCACCTGTTAACATTTCCATGTACATGTTTTAAGTGAGTTAGCTTGACATTGGGGCTACATAACGATACATAAATATGTATATGGAGGTTAGCGTTCGTTAATCTTATTGTTATATATGGTATAGTTGTTCCTGTTCAGTTACGGACATGTTATCTCAGAGGTCAAAAGGTTTAGCTCAACAAAATCTAATCAAGGGGTGTAATTTTCATTTTTCATTTTTCAACGTTGGATGTCCATCAAACGGTACTTACTTCTACCTCACCTTCACAACCCTACAATCTTGATCAGTGAAGGTCGTCCATTTGTCACTAGCATCCAATAATAATCCCATAGTAACCTCTGACCTCTGAGACACTGTACAGTGACCTACAGTGACCTTATATTATCCCTCTATATCTCAGGACCCCATTATATCAAACTTCATTAACTAAATCCCTCATCAAGGAAAACATTTGAATCACTATAAGGAGTATGAAAATAAGTCTGCCTGTTGCAACTAACTTTCGGGTTTTGGTAACTGCTGAAACTTCACGCATTCATATGAAAGTGATATCAATTTGAAATATTTTGTAGTTCAGACAAGTATGTTTTTATGATAACTTGTTCCGGCCAAATGATCTAAGAATTATTTTTTTTAATTTTAAAAAATATTGGTATCATAATGATTACCATCATAAAACACACATGTAAACCTTAATTTTTATGCAATTTGACTTTTAGAAAAAAACATTATCACTAAATAAGGATGTACCAGCAGTTTCCTATATCATTTCTAAAACAGGGAAAAAACAAAAAGGGCAAAACCTATTAAACCAAAATGTGCATCAGACAATCACAAAAACTCTTCTGTATCATATGTGAAGTAGAGAATTGTTCACCCCCCAAAAGTGCTAACCAGTTACCGGTAGCTAACAGACCACATTAACACTAATATTTATACAGACATTGAGACTAAAGGACTGGTACACGTAAACATGTATTGATTTATGGATATCAATTTTAAAAAATATCCAATCTTCCTTTACCCTGTGTACATAAATCACAGTCACTACAATCGCTTGGTTTCTTACATACTTTAGTTTCAAATATTGACGTTCCTGAAAACAGAAATATCAATGTTCCAAACATTTTCTTTATCTGGATATTTTCTGTATTTAAATTTATTATTAGAAACGTTCTTGTATCAAGAAACAAGCAGATGCACATTCAGGAAATAAGGATCTTGTTCCCTCTGAACAATTAGACAGAATATAGATAAGAATTTCAGCAGTCTTTAACAGTAAAGTAAAAAGTCTTTTTTATTTCAAAACTAATATATTATAAAAACTTTTAACTATAATAGTGTTCATTAATTCAGAGCCAATCCCATAAAAAGTGTGCCCAGACCATCGTGTATAAATATTTTGATGCTAATAAATTATTATGTGCTTGATCTTACATACTGGCATATTCAACAAACAAGAAACCATATTTATATACCTTGGTAAGGAATTGTTCTCTTAAACACCAAACTCTGTAACCCATTTTGGCTATATCGGTTTCTCTTTACCAAAACTCCAAATACATGTAATAGATATGACCCCATATTACATTAGGGACCACGGTGGTAGGTATGATGTAGACTTGTTTGACAGGTACAGTAACAAAAGGTGATTTCTAGACACACTTTACCTCTGTCAAGCAATGATAATAATAATAATAATAATAATAATAATAGCAAATAGTTATTATAAATTCTATTTATAGCTTCAATATTAATTTACATATATAGTTCCTATACAGATATATTATAGTTTATTTATTATAAAGCTATATACATATTTATGCCCAGCTTAATATAACAGGTACGTTACATGTGTACCTGTAGACTTCACCTACTACTGACGAGAGTTAAAGTGTGGCTAAATCCCACCCCTCCTACTGCAGCTGTCGTCTTATACACCACACGCAAAGAGGAAGGAGACAGAGAAAAACGTAGAAAGTGACCCAGAAAATTAAAAAATAAGCTTAAATTAATAGTCAGTTGGAGAGATGACGACCGATGATATGACATTTTTCTGATAAAACATGTCGTGGGTAAGAACATTTTTGATACATTTTAAATATTCATTAACATCCGTGTCATTTGATTATGACAAGCATGTTAATTTGCAGTTTTACATTACCTCCCAACGTCTAAGAATGTATGGTGACTTCTATCATCCAACTATGACAAGCATGTACATTTCAGTTTGACATATTTTCATATATATCAAAATGCTTGAAAAGTACTGTACGCACATGACCATCACCATGACAATCTTGCATGTTTCAACATCCAATGTGTCATCTATGTAACTAGATGCACCCTACATCTTTGGCAGCATATCCCAAATGACATAAGGTACACGTGTCAAACCGCCGCCAACAGCATGTGATAAAACTGGGTTGCAGGAGCTGTGCTTTTCCTGTATCGGAACATGTCAAGGCAGGAGCTAGGGTTGATGTCCTCGGGACTGTTCGTCAATATTACACCCCTTACATGCCGAGGGGTTGATGTCCTCGGGACTGTTCGTCAATATTACACCCCTTACATGCCATGCCGAGGGGTTGATGTCCTTGGGACTGTTCGTCAATATTACACCCCTTACATGCCGAGGGGTTGATGTCCTCGGGACTGTTCGTCAATATTACACCCCTTACATGCCGAGATCCAAGTGTTCGTCCATGCATCTGTCTCCACCTTAGAGAATGTTTCTCTCCATATTGTGCCGAGGACCACCCAAATCAACGTCCACACACATGCATTCACTCCTTGTAATGCAAAATGCCACTGCATTCCCTAAGAACATTGCACCTTCCGTTAAAGTTGCTGTAGTCTTGATTGGTTGGCAAAACACTGACCAGACCAGTCACATGAAAGACTACTTTGACAGTTTACTTATCACTCGGATTAACGCACCATTCTCCTCTTTTAAGCGCTTGTTATCATCTCTAAGTTGATCCATTTTCTGTAAAAATCAAAGATCAAGTCTGAGTGTACAAGACAAGGCATATATCAGATTGCACCTGTATTTCATTTATTTTGATTGAAAAGTTTGTTAATGATGTGCATCAAAATATAATGACGTATTTGTGCTGATTTTTATTGTTACACCTCTACATGTTCATACAAGTGATAGATTATAATTATGGTAGTATTATATGCTAATGTAGTAGAGTTATCTCCCTTGACAAGACATTGACTTTAGTCTCTGTGCTTTGATGAGAAAAAAAAATACAAAAGTATAATTATGAACTGATAAGAAACTTAAGAACACAATACACTTCAATCAGATGGATATATGAACAAGCAACATAACATCAATCTATCAGAATTAAAATATTAAGAATATTGCTATACTAGTCTATACATGAACATGTGTGCTTGTTAATTAAAATAACTTCCAACATTTTTTTTAATACAAACGCAGGCTGACTGCATAATAAAACTTCTTAAAATTAGTGAAACAATGAAAACAGTTATCAATAATACTGTAACACTATGGAATTGTCACTTTGTTACAATACACTATAAATCATACTATCCAGCTAGATCATGCATTTCCATGTGTAATTCTCGTCTTCCCCCCCCCCCCC